AGATGTATAACTACTAGAAGCGTCTTCGGACGCTGATATCAAATCTGGCTTCCAAATCTGCTAAACGATTCTGGGTGAGGAGTTACGGACCTTTTTTGCTACTGTGCTTAACCATTGCGGTGCGCCCCCTGCTTATGCTTCGCGCTTGTAAACCCTTCGTGACCCCAACCGCATCCATGGCTCGGTGCAGGGAGTGGGATGGGCTCACAGTCGTGCGATGGGGGTTCGAGTCCTTGATGCGTTTCGTAGTTTTGCTTTTCTCTTGAAACGTGCGCTCAACACTTGGGAAGTAGTTTTGCATACCTGTCCGACCACCAAGACAACTCCCTGCTCTTTATTGAGCCCCGCGAACGATTTCGTGGAAAATTACCTTCTACCTGACTCGTTCATGCAAGGGACCAAATACACATGCATATCTGCCTGAAGTACGTGATCTGCGAGATTTCACCATCCTATAGAATGACAACGTGTGTGGGCAACGAAATATTTCAACATGTTCGGTAGCTCTAATCACCCACGCACACAATATCAGCCAACACCTCTGCGACCGTGCCTACCATAACTAAAGTAATATTAGGCACTGTTGAACTACTCCTACCCCAGAAAACTCAAAAAAATTTTCTCGCTGAAACGTTGTCTACAGGTGCAATTCTATGCCCTGATCACGGTTTTAACCCTCGTTTCGAGCGCTGGCGTCATTTGGCGCCATTATGCACCAATTTGGCGCCCACCACTTTTTTCCTCCAAAGTTGATGAAAACTTGCATATGGGGGTTAATTGAGGTCCTGATTAAGAATATCACACAGGTTTCCAGCGTTGGCGCGATTTGGCGCCATGAGAGTGGCGCCCAATGATGCGCGCCATTGGGCGCAGATGGCGCCAAATGACTTTCAAGCGCTCGAAAACGAATGTGATATTCGTGATCTGGGCATCGAATTACACCTATAGACAACGTTTCAGCGAAAAAGGTTTTTTGAGTTTTCTGGGGTACGAATGAGTGTCAATGTCAATTACGAGGTTGTCGACACACTGTACGACAACCTTGCAATTGACTGCGAGGAAGATAGCTCGTAGAGGACGACAATACGGATCCTCTCTGATCACGTGTGATGGCGATGAAGAAAGTTCCCTAGGAGCGAGAAGAACAGCTACGACACTTTGGGATGTAAAGGTCTAAAACGAATCGGATGGCGGTGAAGGCTATCCTGTCCTTCCTTTATGTCCCATCAAGTTGCTCTGGAACCCATCTGAGCCGCTTTCCATTCACGTCGAGCCACAGGCAAGGACTTCTATCTTTTCTCATCATCACAGTATATTGCGATACATTGATTCCATATGCTCAGTACGACGAGGACTGGGGTTATGTCGATATACGAACTGGAGCTCATACATTCTGGTGGCTCTACGCCGTCAAACCAGCCAACGGTCGACCGCTGATTTTATGGCTGCAGGTGGGAAACTGAACTTTTTCTCATTGACCTCTATAGTCGTTCTTTTATCGCTCATTACGAATGGCTCAGTCATCCCTTCAGAAATTTTATTTATAAATTTTTGCGCAGTCAAGTTGGAGGGGCGTTGTGCACCTTCCTTATTTCCTTTCCTTAGTTCGGGTTAACTAAGAGAACTTGCTTTTGTCGTACCTGTAAACTACTGTGAAGCTTCGAAACTGTGGAAGTGACCGTCTTTGGTCACAGGAATTCGCAGGTCCTCACAATTTAACCTGCATATGCCTAGCTGACTACATATGATCCGGTGCCCACCAAGCCGAACTGCACCTAAATTTACTTCCTTTCCAGAGAGCTCCAAAACACTTGAAAATTCACTGTTGTTTAATTAACCAGCTTTGCAAATAGTTCGCATTGACTCGTTTATTCCCTACAATTATCCCTCCCTCTCATAGCTTGGGCAGTCCTTGAAGTTCTCGAAGAAGGCAAGAATTTTGTCCTTGTGTAATCGACAAGCATTTGCGTACATTCTGTGGGGCAGTCTGGTTCGGTGGGGACACCAAATGGTACCGAGTGAAGCCTGCAGGCCATTTGTGAAATTTAAATTCTCGTAACCAGAGTGGCTCCTCTGTAAAATTTCGCCACAAGAACTTACATGTTAGTTCACATGAACTAGCGAAAGGAACTAGAGGAAGTGCAAAATGCCCCTCCCATGCCAAACAACAACCACTCTATATCTCGGAGAATACGAGGGCACGGCTGCGTACTCCGTTTGAACCCTGTTCAGAATGTGTTCTTTCAAGGGATGTTCGTATTCGAGACAACTCCATATGTCCTATCTGCATATCCTGTCTTATGCTGGGCAAACATATGATTAAAGTTGTCCCTAACGACAGTGTCCCACCAAATGTGCAGTTGCTGCACGTTCAAATGAAGTACGCAGCCACGCCCTTTCCACTTCCAAGATGTGGAGCATGCATCCCTTATAAAATAGTCGAATGTGAGCAAGCATTGTCAAAACATAAAGATATAGTCCGCAGTAAGCAAATGGGTGGAGATACACAATCGCACCATTCCCATTGGTTCCCCCATTGTCCCTCTACGGTTTTTGCGGTAATGTGAGGGGGAAGTGCCAATAAAGCAGGCGCACTAGCTGAGCCCCTCACGTTACTGCCCGTTCGATTATCATGAATACGCTTCGAGCTGAAACTGATACACTTTGAAATTGACCAGCACGCGAATAACTTACTACCCTGAAAATATGGATAATTTTTGTTATTTTCAAATGAACCAGGATCCTCACATTACCAAGAGTAGGTCGACGGCTTAATGTAATCTATATATGTTCCCATTTATTGCCCAGACGTACTTTCAGGGAGGACCAGGATCATCCAGCACGGGTTTTGGCAATTTTGAAGAAACAGGACCAAAAATGATTAACTCAACGGACAATATGGCCACATGGGTGCAGATCATGAGTTCATTTATCGTTCTCATTTCTACTTAAAATTTGTTTATCTCAGCTCCAAGTTGCTGATTTGGTTTATGTGGACAATCCAGTGGGAGCTGGCTTCTCCTATGTCGACGAAGAATCGGCGCTGACAACAGATGTTGCCCAAATTGGGCAAGATTTGTTGGCATGGCTGCGTTACTTCCTCGTTCTGCACTCTGAATACCGTACCAGACCGTTTTTCATATTTTGCGAAAGCTACGGTGGAAAAATGAGCGCCGAATTTGCTCGAGTTATTACTCAGGTGAGTTTCAGTAAGAGCCTTGTTCGGAGACATTGTGAATTCTTCCTGAAGATATTTCTATACAGGAGGTTGCTGCTGGTACCATTCGGCTAGATTTTCGCGGAGTAGCACTCGGTGATTCATGGATTTCGGCTATGGATTACGTGAACACGTGGGGCGAATATCTCTACGCGAATGTGAGTAAGCTTCGCACTTCTTCGCCAGTGGGGTTTGCTGGTTTTGGCGCGGCATCTACTCCTGTTTGTTCTGTGCGGGACTTAGCGTTTTCTTTCTTTTTTACCAGTTTTTGAAGGCTTTGTCTTGACGTGCATTGATTTGAACAGGAAAAGCAGAAATAGGGAAAGAGCTCCTCACCCTCTTGGTACCTCCCTTTACAACCTACCTTCCCTCTCACCAATTTGTTCTGGCAATCTGCCGTGGAACGGGTAGGGGGTGTTCGGGTGAACGGTAGACACCTCCGATCAATTATGGCTGTACACCTTACATGAAAGTGGAAATAAACCATTAGAAAGCAGAGCACGTCCACCTTCACGCTCTATTGTGAGTGACCCAACGGATGCTGTGCTCTTGGTGTAGCTTTGGAGCCGCTACCGACTTCACTAATTAGAAAGCTCAAACACATTTGTGCATGTATCTCTGACGACGGTCCATTGGTGCAGTTCGGCGACGGGGGGATGTTGCACTTTTGCTGCATCCCGTCGACGTCTCGAGCCATCTAGAAAGCTATTCCATGAGCTTTCAGGAGTTGAAAGGTTATACCATATTGACTGGACGAACTTGGTCCAGCTTTAGAAGAGTTCACAGGTTTCACCCGAGAGAGACATATATGTAAAGCGAAAGTGTAAAATGCCCCTCTCGTCGCCGAAGTGCGCCCGATCGGTACCATGAGCAGGGCGTTTGCGTAGCATCCACTTTCTCCGGTCAAAAGTGTCCCGGAACGGAGCCGAGGGGGAGTAATAGCCTGGAGCCGTCTCCATACTCCGCCTTCGTGAGTGCATCCCATCCAAGCCTCACCCACGCCCAACGCCCAGCTTGTC